TTCCACGACGGTTCCTTCAGTTTTGTTCGTCTGAACGCGAGTGTCGTTGTTCGTTGCGGTGCCGAGGGCGAGCACGGCGATGGAGAGGACACGGAGTCTCATAATGTGTATATATATACCGGAGTACAAGACGAAGCGGCCTTAAAATGGCACCACAAAAGGAAAATTGACGCCCGCCACGGCGCGCGCCCAGACCGGTCACGACGGACGACCCGGGACGCGTACGTGACGCCGCAACTCGCCCCCTACTGAACGCCGGCGACCGGGACGAGTTTTACGCGTCCGACTCCTCCCAAAGTACGCAGTTACGCGCGTTCGGTCGGACGGGACGAGAGCCAAAGCAGGGAGCAAGCACGCCCGGATTCCTTGTCGAAGGCCGTTCAAATGCCAGCCCTTGCACCTCATTGGCCGACAGCGCCGTCTCTCTGTCTCCTCGCGAGCTCCGCGCGTCACAACGCTTCCAGTTTCGGCTTGAGCTCGCGGCCCGGCGCCGCCGCCGGCGCGCGGCGCCGCGGCGCCCGCCGTCGAGGCACATGCCGCCGAAGAAGAAGCCGAAGCAGTCCCTCTCCAGCGACTTCGAGTCGGCGGAGGCGGCCATCGCGGGGAAGGGCTGGGAGCGGTCGTTGGGCTGGAAGGTCGTCAAGGCGCGCCCGAGGGCCAGCGACGGTGGCGTGACGTACTACACGCTCAGTTACTGCTGCTACAAGTCGCGGCGGGACCGCATGGCGAAGAAGTCGCCCACGCGGGAGCTCATCACGACGTCCATGGTCCCCGGCTGCCCCGCGCGCTGGCGCACCCACAACGAGGCCAACCTCGCGATGGCCAAGTACGTCGCCGTCGTCGAGGAGGCGGGGCGGGCCGGGCGCAAGCGGAGCGCCGGCGGCGACGAGGGGGACGTCGAGGTCGGCGGCGGCGGCGACGACGACGTCCCGGACGCGCCCGCGCTCGCGGCGCCCGCGCCCGACGGCGACGGCGGCGGCGTCGAGGACGGCGACGACGACGACCCGGACGTGCCCGCGCTCGCGGCGCCCGCGCCCGAGGGCGACGACGGCGGCGACGACGACGACGAGGAGGAGGAGCTCGCGGAGGACGACTTCACGGGCTGCGGCGGCGACCTCGTGGACTGGACCCCGAAGGTCACGCTGCGCAGGCCGCGCGGCGCGGGCGCCGCGGCCGAGGCCCGGCGCAGGAAGCGCTCGAGCTTGGGCCACCGCACCATGGACGCGCTCGCGGCGCTCAGGCGCGGCGCCATGCGGCTCATCGGCGCGGTCGGCGGCGCCTCGCGCCGCCGTCGCCACCAGTCCGGGCACCGGGGCGACGACGGCCGGGAAGACAACCGGAGAAGAGACGAGGAGAACCGACGGGCGCGCGTCGAGGAGGTCATAGAGCGCAACGCGAGGCGGTACCAGCCCATGATCGACCGCCTCCGCGGCCACCTGACCGCCGAGACCACCTACCACCTCTCCCTCGCCTACGACCCGGAGGACCCGGACTCGCGCCTCAAGATGTCCGACTCGGAGCTCCGCCGGACGCGGACCAAGGCGGAGCGCGTCGAGCGCTACCTCCGCTACTTGAGGGACTTCAACACCGGCGAGCCAGGTTCCTTCACGGCCCTGGAGTGCGCGCAGAAGGCGGCCGACGAGGCCTACGGCAAGGTCAGCTCGCGGACGGTCATGGGCTACTTCCGGAACCAGTACCTGCCCTCCGAGGGCTACTTCCTCGCCGACGAGCGCGGCAGCTACCCCCGCGACTCGTGGACGAGCTGCTTCCTGAGCCAGGACGACCTCGTGCTGCGGCTGAACCTCCTCGTCCGCGCGAACCTGCGCACGATGTCCTTGGAGAAGC